ATCGTTCAGGAAGATTTCTTGATCGTCTTGAATGATTAGTTCAAAATGTCAAATATCATCCAGAACATCGCCATGATTGCATGTCTTGATGATGAAAAAATAATTGATCATCTAGGATAATTTGAGATCATCCCGGATGATTAGTGAAAAACAAAACACATTGTCTAGAACATTATTTTGGTCATCCAGGAAGAAACTAAGGTTTGTTTAACTGATAATCCTGAATGATCCTGCAATTACCCAGGACAATATGATGGAGCAATAAAAAATAAAATTACTTTCCTTAATTACCAAACTAATTTAAGAATAAAAAAAATTAAGCATAATTGCACTATATCGTCTAGGATGATGTCCTAGACGATGCCCAAAAATAAAACATGCCTAAAAAGATCTGGTGGTTGATTCTTTTTTATTTGACCCTATCCTTCCGGATGATGCTAATCTCATCCAGGATAATTTGCTTAATTATGGCTTCCTTAATCAGGATGCTCTAATTAGGATTTCTATTTCTAACTATTCATCCAGGATGATTTGGGATCATGATGATATGATCAAAAATAAAAAAAATATAAATAAATAGAATTTTCCCCCCTAAGTGTGTGTGTGTGTAAGTTTACATAGCATCAAGACCCACTTTGTTATAATAAACTTAAGAAAAGGCAAAAACCTTTATCATGCACTTACAGATTGACTCACTCCTACTCTACCCAATCCTAAGCTAGCTTGATTTTCAATTGACCTTATGAACCTGAAACTTTAGTAGGCAAGGCAGTCATAAAAAGAATAGAATTATAGAAAATGTTTGCTATCATCAAAATTATAATTCATGAATCCATATTCGCAACAATCTCCCAAATTTTGATGATGAAAAAAAAATTTAAGCAGTTTAATTAAAACAACACAAGAAGAAATAATGTGAATCAACAAGTTTGAATTTTAAAAACAAATTGATGATACAAACACTAAATAGAAAATAGTATAACAAAGCAACATAAAACACTACCAATAATCCCCCTTTTGATATCATAAAAAGGAGGAGGGAACTATAAAAGAAAAAAAAAACATAACATAAACTACTAAAAAGAAATAAACTACATCACAGAAAAAAAAACACAAGAAAACAACTACAAGTAGGATGACACCTGATCATTAGAAAGAGGTGGTGGTGGCGATTGAAAGAAACTAGAAAGAGTTGCGAACTACTCCCGAAAGCAGGCCATGTCCTGGTCATGCTGCTGCTGGTGAGCCACGTATGAATCATAATAAGCAACATCCTTCATATGTTGCTGCTTCTATATAGTAATATAGAAGTCAAACTGAGCCTCCCATTGGTCGAACCACTCCACCAACTGATCTAATTGTGAGTGCTGACAGAGCGAAGTAGGTGCTGGAACAGGTGTAATATCCACCTCCTCCTCAGCTCCCTCAGCTTCCTCATGCTCTAGGTGGAGACGGGTACTATAAAGAATGTGGAAAGAGATATTAGTGTAGAAGGTAGGCTGAAAGTTAGGCGGGGCACGATATTGAAGGTTGTACTTAGATTCCATGATATAGGCTATGATATTTTTGAGGCCAAGGTTACGCTTCCTTCTTTGTCCTGGATCATTAATACTTGTGAGGTGCTCAATATAATAGAGAATAAGATTAGTAGCATTAAATTCTTGATGGGCCATGATATAGAAATTGGTGATCAAAAGGAGAGGAGTGATGTGGATATGATCACCAGCTTTGATAATAACAGAGGTTTGAAGCACATGTTATATTGTCTGAGCATCCTTGACTATGTAGACAAAAGTATTTTGTAAAAGGGGATTGGTCGGAGCCCAGTCAAAATCAAGATCTTGAGATAAGATGTGAAGCTTGTCTCTAGTAGTGGATAATTGAAGGAGCTCATAATAATCTTGATAAGTTATTTCAACAGGACGTTTATTAACATAAGACTAAAATGTAGTGTAAGAAGAGTTGATCAGGAGGCTTGTAAAAAATTCAAAGAGCAATTCGGAATTGAAATGAATGTGAGAGAGGTGTGCACAAAAAGCTCAAGAATAAGGTAACAAAGCATACATAGATTGACAGTCCAGGATAAGGTGATCATGACTATCTTGTAATGCAGGTAGGCTGCTTTGTTGACCACCTCAGTGAAATGAGGGTCAATATTGGCAAGGATAATAAGACTGACTTTACCAAAATAATTCTTCCTCCCATGGATAAAGATCTGCTTCCCAAAGTATTTAACTTGTCCAAGACATGGTTCAACCAGTCTTGATAATAATTCATACCCAACCTTCTCATCATAATTTTGATACCCAAATATTTTGTTTCTTTCACAACACCATACCCAAGTTTTCTATCAATTTTACATTTAACAACACGTTTAACAAATTTGCCAATCATAATTTGGGATTTATGGAAATTTACATAAAGACCTGTTCAGCCATAAAAATCTTCAATTAAGTTCTTCATAATTTCAGCAAGATGAAGTTTTGCTTGAGAAAACAGTAGAACATCATCATCATAAAGAAGATGTGTGATCTTCTCACTTCTTAAGGATATTTGAACACCCAATTCATTTCCTCTTTATCTAATTGCACTAGAGAGGAGTTGATAACACATTATGAACAAGTAAGGTGAAAGTAGGCATCCTTGACAGAATCCACATTTAGCATTTATCCACTTTGTGTTTCTCCCATTCAATATTATAGAAAATCTTGCATTGGTTACACATTCCATTATCAGCTCCGATAAACAGGAAGGAAATCCATACCACATAAGAATGTTTTGAAGTGTTGGCCAACCCATACTATCATATGCTTGCTCCATATCTAGCTTGATTTCCATTATGCCATTCTTGTTTTTAGATATTCTAAATTTATTGAATATTTCTTGAGCTAGTAAATAGTGTTTCAACATACTCCTACCTGGGATAAATGACATTTGTTCTTCTGAAATGATAGTAGAAATGCATAATTTGATTCTATTAACCATCATGGTTGCAACTATTTTGTATGTTGTCTGACGTAGACTTATTGGTCTATAATTGGATGGCAAGATATGATTCTTAATATTTGGAATTAACACAATTAGAGTGTCTTTCCATTCTTTATGCATCACTCCTGTTTTAAAGAACTCCTTGACAACTTCCCAAGTGACATTTTTCACAATGTTCTAATAGAACTTGAAGAAGGAGGAAGTCACACCATCATTGCCCGGAGACTTATTATTGCCCTGTTGAAAGACTGCACTTTAAAACTCTTCTTCACTGAAATCTGCTGTGAGAAATTTTAGATCTTCAAATTTTATCTTTTGGTTCTCTAGTAACATAGGCCATTCACCCATATTGTAATTTCTAGCCTTCCATTTATTATTGAAGAATTTTAACAAAACTTCTTCCATTTTTTCAAACTCTTCTAGCACATCATTGTTTTCATCTTTGATTTATCTCACAATATTCCCATTTCTTCTAGCCGAGGCATAATTGTGAAATATCCTAGAATTAGTGTCTCCTTCTTCAGCCCATCTAACCTTAGCCCTTTGGTTCCACCAAGTTGACAATCTTCTTAGAGTGATGTTTAGTTCATGCACTTTACTTCGGAGAAGTAACAGATTATCTGCATTATTTCTTGCATCCGAGGCATCCTTCAATTATAATTCCATAATTTCATTTTTTTAATTGTTCCTTAAGCAAAAGAAAATCTTTGATTTTATTCTTATTCCAAAAGAATAGTTCTTTTAATGTTCTTATCATATTTATATGTAGGATATCAACATTGTTGCCAAAATCTATTTTTCCCCAAGTCTTCACCACTATGTTCTAGGCAGCTGGGTAAGATCTCCAAGTACCCTGTTATGTTGCTTCTCTTCCAATCTGAAAATAATAGGGCTATGATCTGAAGAAACCTTTGCAAGTTGTCTATCTTTTGCTAATGGAACCAGTTGCAATGAAACTGAATTCAACAAGCACCTATCCAGCCTATCCAATATTCTAGCAGCCCCATCTTTGTTATTACACCAAGTAAATCTTGGTCCAACCATTCCACATCATGTAAGTCATTGTTAATCATGAAAATTTTCAAATCTCTAGGTTCTTCAGAAAAACAGAACCTTTTTCCTCCTTTTTTATCTTCCTTGTTTAAAATGCAATTGAAATCCTCCCTACTATGGAACGAATGCTGCTTACCATGGAATTTTCAAGCTTTTCCCATAATAAACTTCTTTCATCACAATGCTTGCTCCCATAAATTATTGCAATATTCCATTTACCAAAAGAATTGGTGCTAAGAGAACCAAATACCATTTGATAAGAATGTTCAATCACATTGAATGAAGCCACATTCTTTTTCCACATCACCAAAATTCCTGCAGATTTTCCCTAAGCTGGGTGATGGAAAAAATCCTAACCAATTTCAATACTGCTATTCACTTCACTTCTAACAATGCTTGATAATTTTTTTTCGGTCAAGCCAATAAAAAAAAAACATCATGATCTCTAACTACCTCTTTGAGGTACAAGGAGTCATCCTTCTTCCAAGCCCCCCTACAATTCCAAAACATAATGGAAGCCATTTATGTAACCAAAGGGGATACATCCCCGCCTTTTTTAGTTCCTCTTCCTTGTCCTCGTTTTTTCCTATTTTTCGTTTCAACCGGTCCCAAGGACCTTACTTCTTTTTACAAATTATTTTTGTCTGAAACAATTAACATACCATCATTTCCTTTCTCAAGAGATGTCATGCCTCTTGAGCTATCTTTCTATTTAGAAAATGCCATACATGCTGCCATTTTATTTTTATCCATAATCTCTTTGTGCGTTTGCATCTCCACTCCGCCTTCTTCAATTAATTCAGCTAGAACACTGAACTTGTTTGCCATAATGCTTTCATTAATCTCAACAACATTTGTACCCATTTCTTTAGAAGTAATCACCTTAGGAGCTGTAATTTCAGACATAATTTCCACCTCAAGATTTCTTATTACTTCTGTTGCATTTTCTTCTATATTTTTTAATTTATATTCTTTATGAGGGAATCCTTAATAGTTTTGTTCACAAATTTGGTTCCCCCATTGAATCTTCCATTCCTGAATTTATTATTCTTAAATTTGACTTGAATCCATGGTCCATACTCCGAATTTCCCACATCAGAATCCTTTGCCTCTACTGGCACTTGGACATCATTTCCAGGTTTAAATACCTGCTTCACAGGTTGCATTGCTTTTGGAATTGTCTTATCATCCGGGCAAGTAATTCTCTCATGACCTACTTTGCCACAATGGTAGCATAATAGATCAATCTTCTCATACTCCACTTTTTGAAAAAATCTACCTAAAGTTCCATCCGCCCAAACATTGTTTGGTAACTTATTTTCCAGGTTTATTTTAACACAAATTTGAGCATACTCTCTTTTCCCACATTTGAAAGAGTTTCTATCAAGAAACAATGGTTTACCTATAAAGGAAGCTATCCTTGCATTATTGTCCTCATCCCAACAAACGAGAGGTAGACATGGAAACTGAATCCATACAGGTGTTGTAATTCCCTTGAATGATTTAGGATCAAATGAAGGAGACCATCTATCCATTCCCACAATGTTCCTTCCAACATACCATGGGCCACCATTTAATACTTCTTCCATTGTATCAGTATTTTTAAAAGAGCATAGAATCCATCCCATACCAAGTGTTGTCAAGTGTACACTGCCAAATTTGTTCCATTCTCTTCTCAATTCCATGCTGCAAATTGGGAAAGCTGGACTCTTTCCCATGATTATAATCGCAAGGGAATTCTAAAGAGTTTGGGAATTCTTATTACATTGCTCAAAGTTCAATTTTAATACTACTCTATCCTCAGACATTTTCAGTTGCTCTTTCATGTAAGAGCATTTGATGTTTTGAGGTTTAGACCAGGCAGAAATAACTTCACTTTGCATTCCAGTAATCTCATTGCTCCTATCAATGTTACTCATTTTCTTCAAACTTCCCCCAATCTCCACATCAGTTCCAGATGGTTCATATGAATCCTTCTCAATTGCTACAGTTTGATCAGCCATATAAGAACTACCGTCATTATCATAATTATTTTTGTTAATCTGCTTAAGAGAATTTGCATTTATTGCGCTGGCATTACCAGGGATTTCATTTGAATTCTCAAAGTGATTAACAAAAATTTTCATGCCCGACGAAGAAGTTCTGATTTCAGTAAGTTTTACAGGCGATCGAAACAATTCATGCTTAGGTGTTTCAAACTCAGATTCATCAACTATAGATTTTCCCTTACTTGGTACATTATAAATCTTCTTCAGTTTACATTCAGTAACTTCCTTGATAGTCAGTGTGCCTCTTGTTGATTTAAACTTTCCATCATCATTGCAGTTCTTCAGAACAGAGCTTTGATGACATTCCCCTCAAAAATTTGAATTCCACCTTCTGTAGAATACGGATTGATCACCGGAGTCATAGATGACCGGTGTCCATCCACCGTCATCCCATCGAATTCATTCAGGATCGTTGCTGGGAAATTTAAAAATTAGAAAAAACCCAATCAACGATAGTTTCTCTCTCTAGAAAAATGGCAGCTTCTCTCTCCTCCAAAACGACAGCTTCTATTGATTGCTATCAATCAGTGCGTGATCTTTTCTATAGATTTCATGCACTTTTTTAATTCTAAAAATTTTATGTTAAACCTATCATGCATCTTTTTGAGTTTTCTATAGGCAGTATGAATTTTTTCAAAAACATCAAATAAATCTTCATAGGTAAAGTCACATACCTCTTCCTTATCTGGCTGATCAAATTTGTCAGCCATCAAACATAAGTTACTGACTTCTTCCTCTACTTCTATTTTTGAAGAATAAGAAGCTAAATCTTCCCAAAATGCTCTTTACAATCTCTTCTTACCCTTCCTTACATTGCTTTTCTCCTCAACCTTCTCCATGCTAGGATTGGCTTTAAGATTTAGGCATTCAGATTTGATGGATCCAGGGTTCTTGCATTCTTATAAAATTACATCATTATAAGCCTTAGTATTTTTGTGTAACTTACCTTTATTTCACTATTAGCATCTCCTTTACTTCATTTTTAGAAAACTTTTGAATTGCCTTATCATTAAGGCAATGTCATCTTTATCCTCAGGCTGAAAATGATCACTCTCCAAGTCATCCACTTTCAATGCTATATTTTTCTTTTTTCGCTTCTCACCTACATCAATCTATCTATTAATCACTCCTTACTTATAAGTAATAAGTGATCCAAGAAAATTCTCAATAAAATAAATATTTAAGTCCTTTGATTATGTTATAGCAGTTATCTTTGCATTATAAGTAGTAGGCAAACAAAAAAGAATTTTATTTACTTTTTAATCATTCATTAATTCCCTACCAAAAGCATGCAATGAGGTGACTATTTACATGAAATGAATAAACATATCTATGATATATTCATTCAGTTTCATGCAAAATGGTTCATAATCATATAGCAAAATATTCAATCAAGATTATTTCACCATGTCAGTCCCTTTATATGTGATACAAAGTCTATTAAAAATTTCTTTTCTAGTTCTAGAGGTAGAGACATATATTTAGTCTATATAATTAAGTGCACATAAAAACTATTTAAACATTTCATGTTTAACTAAGTTAAGTATTTTTCTTTTACAGTCCAGTCAGTAAATGGTGTTTTAGTTATAAAGCCATCTAGAAATTTAGTTGTCTTAGTATAACCTTCTTGTACTAAAATCCACATGTGATAGTCAAGTGATTAAAGAAAAGTAGACATACGTGTTTTCCAAAAATTGAAAGGGATGTTCTCAAATAATGAGGGTCTAGTGATCGAATACCCTTCTGGTGTATTAGGGTTTCCAAAAGTAGCTATGATCATTTTCAAAAGTTATCTAAACCTTAATTTTTGAAAGTAATCTTTAATACCACTTCTAAGTCCAAATAGGTTGTTAGAGCTGCTACAACTGTCCTAATGGCTAACCAAGAGGGGGGGGGGGGGGGGGTGGTTTGGGGGGGGGGGGGGGGGATTGGTTATTTTAAAAAAAAATCCTTTGAAGAATTGAAAAATATTTTTATACTTTTAGAAGTATAATGAAAATTTACCAAAATAAATTTTTCAACTACAAATTAAAAGTGTAGAAAATTTAAAATATAGTAAAAATAAAAAGAAGAACACATAAATTTATAGTGGTTCGGTCCAACTAGACCTATGTCCACTCCATGAAGACTTCGTCTGTAGGTATTACACTATATCAAAATGACTCTCCTTTTTCTTCCTCAATAAGGCAGAGAAGCCCTAACACATAACCTCTCTTCCATCAATCCCTAGTGTGGTAGAGTATTGTCATCCTTTCACATCCTCATGGTGTTGGAAAAGAACCATCATCCTTTCACACCCTCCTAGTTTTGGCAAAGAATTTCCATCGTTTCACACCCTTATGGTGTTGGTAGAGAACTAGCATCCTTTCACACCCTCTTGGTGTTGGCAGAGTACTAGTGCTCCTTTGAAAAATCTCTTCCAAGAAGCTTCAAGTGAGAAGGGAAGACATTTGAAGGACAAGCATGAGATACTCACCATTGGGTAACCTTATGAATCCCCTTATAATTCCTTCTTTAGAAATTTCTCAGTGTCCATTGACAAAAACTCTCCCAAACACTCTCCAAGTGACCTCTCAAAAACAAGTTTGCAATAGGAACGTAAGAGTACTTAGACAGTCAATTTTAATAGCTCTTATATATGAATGATACAAATAAATATCCAAAAAATTGAAAATTTCAATTTAACCATCATGGATTGTAAAGTTCGATCACACATCATATGTACAATCAGTTCAAAATATCTCTGACTATTCTATACGAACCAATTTTTGACTCTGGTTAACATATATATGAATTAACATCACAATAAAAAGAACTAACATCGTATGAACCAATTTCATGTGACTGCAAGTATGATTTCCCTGAAACATTATCATACACAAATAACAAAAATAGTATTTCCAATATATGTTAGGAGGAACAATAATCAACACAATAAGATTTTAGAATCATAAAAAACATACATGATATAAAAACATAGTTATGAAAATTAAGTTGCAAGATAATGGATGGAAGAAAATTGATTACATTTCAAAGTACACATACCTCCAAACCATCACATGTCATCCTCATGTTATTGTTGTTGTTGTTGGATATCCTAGTCTAGTTAACTTTCTAGTCACACAAGCCATTGAATAATATCATCCTAAGGGTAAGCATGTGTAGGTGTGGTATTGGTGGTAGTGGAGGTCATCCTGTAAGAGCATCTTCCCCTTCTTCATCAAAATATGGCTCAACATGCTCTTTCCCCTGATGAAAAAAGATATGTCAAGTGGCATCCATATAAAAAAATAGGGTCATTATAAGATGGAACATAAAAGGTGAGTTGATATTTGTTGTGAAAGATATTGCCTATGATGTGTCCTAAGGCTACATTTTGTTTTATACGGGTGTTTGGATGTTGAATATGATTCATATTATGGAAATATTTAAGAATTTATTGGGCTTCTTCGAATTGAGTATTTGACAATATGAGGTAAGTGACAATGGAGAGAAGTGTGGTTATGTTAATCTGATCTCCTGCTTTGGGTATAATAGAAGTGCGATGTACATGCTGGATTATATAGGAATTTTAATTTAAAGTGTGGTCTAGGGTTAGGTGTTTATTTGAAGGCACATTCCTAATAGTTAAGTTAATAGTAGTATAGTTAAACTCATAGAAAATTAGGGATTGAGGGCGAGGTCCTTTAGTAGAGAGACCTATGTATTCAGCTAAATCAGCTTTAGCAATCTCTATATTTTGACATAAAACAAAAGAGTTCATGGTAGAAACTTGTAGATTCATCCTAAAATTTAGTAACAATTCATACAGAAGTTTAGAGTTGAAAGGAAAAGCTAGGACAAGGAGGAATTGAAGGGTGGTAGAGGAAAAAAGGCTCATCACCTCAAAGTTTAGGGCAGCTTGGTTTAACATTCAGGATGGGGTGATTTTCACCACTTTATATTTGTGATCTTCATCCCATATAGATAGAAAGTGATCATCAAAATGATAAGAGAAGGAGGAGCTCCCCTGAGTCATTCTTCGACATTTGCTTCCATCAGCCATTGAGTAGGAAGGATTAGAATGTAGAAATGTGAAGGAAGTTTGAGTGAATTGAACTAGCCTTCCAATTCATAAATTTTAGTCATTCATATAATATGATTGAGGTTCATATAGTACGAGCAGGGATTTGGTTTTTCTGGATGACCTGTAAAAATAGTGGTCAAATTATATAGTACAATCAATATCATACTAGATAATCTTAAGAAATTTTGTTCATCCCAAGGGGTCATTGGTACGACATTTGATAAAAAACATCATATAGTATGAATAGGTATTCATATAGTATGAACTATAATTATTATTGTTCCTGCTAAATTAAATTCATCTCATTTCATTTTGATATGTGTATTTTATAGTATGAAGGGAAGTATCATACAGTACGAATGACAATTATTTTGTACCAAACATATTGAATTTCTCAAGGGTTAGTGAAATATGGATCGTACAGTATGAAAAGATGTTCATATAATATGATGTGTATATTAGTGATTTAATTTGGACTGTTGATAATAAAGGGCTATGATTTATGCATCTGTGCATATCATACAGTACGAATGTGAATCATACAGCATGATCAGAAAAAAATTTTAATGATTATTGTGCTTTAGTGAAGTGCGTATGTGATGAT